CGCGCACCGCTTCGACCTCGGCCCCGCGCGCCTCGTGAAGGACCGGTCCGCCTACGCGCCGCGCTCGTCGCCCGCGGCGCGGGCCGAGGACGGCCTCGCCGATTCGGCGACCATCGAGGAGCCCCCGCGGCCGCGGACGCCGGCGGAGGACGACGACGACGACCCCTTCGACACGGGCTCCGTGGGCGTCAGGGCGGGAAAAGAGAGCGAAATTCCCAACTTCAAAGGCTCCTATCTCGGCCGTTTTCCACTCGTTTCGGCTGATTTTTGGACGAGCGATCATCTCTCGGAACGGTTTCGAAGCGTGGATGTTTTTTTACGGAACGCGCGCGCGCGGAACACTCACGTTGAAGCGAACTTGAATCTCTCTTCTCCTGCCCAGGTGGGCGTCGTCGCGCCCGAGGACCGGCGGCGCCGCCGCGACGGCGCGCGCGCGGCGGCGAACGACGACGCGGCCAGCCAGGCGTCGAGCCACGCGCCGACGGTGCAGAGCGCGGCGACGGGCGGCGAGGCCTCCGTGCCCAGCGTCGCCCTCCTCTCCTTCTCCACGGCCGACGACACGACCGTGTCCGCGCACACGAACGCGTTCAAGTCGTCCGGCGGCGCGACGAACCTCCAGCCCAAGAAGAAGCCCCCGCCCAAGAAGCAGGAGCGCTCCTCCGCCTGGCGCCCGGGCAGCCTGCGACGCAACTACTGACATAAGCTCCCTCGCACTTTCTCTCGCACACGAGAAGTATGAGGAGGCTGGGGCGGACGGAGGTGCCAGAGCCACTCCAGTGGGCTGGACGATCTATCGCCCGGAAACCCGGGGTGATCAACAGTCTATCGCCACAATCTCGCCGCAAACGTCTCCATCAGGTAAAAAGCGAGAGACGGGTTGCACGCCGCGTTTGCGAGCCACCTCGAGATCCTGTTCGAGCATGACTTGGTGGAGGAGCTTGATCTGGGCGCTTGCTTTCTGGTGGAGCTTCGTGCCCATTTTTGACGCGGCGGCGGCCGAGGCGTCGGAGGTGGAGGCCTACGCGCGCGCGTGGGCGACGGGCGGCGACGGGTCGCGCGACGGCGCCGGAGCCGAGGCCGAGTGGCTCCGGGGCTTCGGTCCCATCGACGTCGGCTGCCGGATAGAGATCGACCGCGTCGGCCTCGACGGGTCGGGCGCGCCCCCGGGCTTGACCTGGGTCTTCGCGGACGGCAGCCGCCTCACCGTCGACGCCGGCGCCGA